TGAAAAAACTTAAGAATTTGAGAAACAAGTTTTTCAAAAAATTTAAAAATTCAAGGTTTCCTTTTTACAAAGAAATGTATTTAAAATATTTGAACGAGTTTAAATCATTGAGTAAAGTCTTGAAGCAGAATTATATAAGAAAATTCGAAGAGGATATTAAACTGAATCCGAAAGCTTTTTGGCGTTTTGTGAAGTCTAAAAAATCGTGTTCGAGTATTCCCTCTGCTGTATTTTATAAAGATACACAAGCTGATTCAGCATTAGTAGCTGCAAATCTCTTTGCGGATTTTTTCAGCTCGAATTTTGAGGCTGACTCTAATTTGAGTAGTAGTGATTTTTACAGTGGGTTTGGTGCTAGTGGTTCCGCGCTAAACTTTGGGGCTCTTGAAATCTCTTTAGACGATGTTGAACTGGGGATTCGTCAAATCAAACTGTCGTCGCAGACTGATGTTGATGGTTTGTCGTCTCACCTTTTTAAGAATTGTTCAGCTCTCGCCTACCCAATATGGCTGCTTTTTAATAAGTCTCTTGAGCAAGGCGTTTTCATTGATGCGTGGAAAATCTCCCTTATTACGCCAATTTTTAAATCGGGCAATAAAAATGATATCACCAATTATCGTCCTATTTCCAAAATTTCAACTGTCTCAAAACTTTTTGAATGTATAATAAATAATAAAATTTTCTTTTCCATTAGTCGTCTCATCTCAGTAGATCAGCATGGTTTCATGTCGGGGAGATCAACTACTTCTAATTTAGCAGTTTTCTCCGAATACTGCATTGAAGCTTTTAGTAACCGGGCCCAAGTTGACACCGTGTATACTGATTTTTCGAAAGCGTTTGATAAAGTTAACCATCGTATATTGTTATCGAAGTTACAGAGTTTTGGCTTCCACTCAAGTTTTTTAAGCTGGATCAAATCGTATCTCTCAAATCGATCTTGTTCAGTTGTAGTTGACGGGGTGTCGTCGTACTCTTTCATTGCTTCTTCAGGCGTTCCTCAGGGAAGCATTTTAGGGCCTATTCTTTTTGTGATTTTCATCAATGATATTACTAGTTGCTTTAAATTTTCAAAATTTCTTTTGTATGCTGATGACATGAAGATTTTTAGTAGTATTACGTGTTCCGCTGACTCGTTGAAGCTTCAGAGTGATCTAGACAATGTTGTAGCTTGGTGCCAGAAAAATATGCTTCCCTTAAATATTAAAAAATGCTCCCATGTCTCCTATTCCAAATCCCGTTCTCCTATCCCTACTTCATATTATATTGCAGGCTCACAACTAAGCATTGTTTCCAAAATCACTGATCTTGGGGTGGTCTTTGACTCGAAGTTCTCATTTCAAAGCCATCTTAATTATACTTTATCTAAGTCTTACTCTATGCTGGCCTTTGTCAGACGTTTCAGCTCAGATTTCTCGGATCCGTATACTTTAAAAACACTTTTCACCTCACTGGTGCGCTCGAGGCTTGAATATGCTGTTATCATTTGGCGTCCGTATTATTCCTGTCATATAAGTCGATTGGAGAGAGTGCAAAAAGTCTTTATTAAGTACGCTCTGCGCCCCCTTCATTTTGAACTTCCTGTTCCGGCTTATGAATCTAGATGTATGCTTATTGATCTCAAGACATTAAATTGTAGGAGAACCTTCCTATCTCTCACTTTCATTTTTAATTTAATATCCGGGGTGGTTGACTGCCCCTTTTTACTTGAACGCATATTTTTTCTTATTCCTAATATTTGTTTAAGGAATCATGCCACATTTTACGTTGGGCTAGCGAGGACCAATTATGCGGCTAATGCTCCTGTTGTTAGAGCTCTTAAAGAGTTTAACTTGCTCCCAAATTCTTCAATTTTGGACTTCTCCTTCTGTGAAAAAAGATTTAAAATGCTACTAAATGACCTGTTAAATTAGTTGGTAGTCTATCTTAACCTGTAACTAGTCTGTAAGAGATGTAATAATTTCAAGACTAAATAAATGTATTAAATTAAATTAAAAAATATTACACCCAATGACTTTTTAAAACAGTTTTTATGCAAATATCTGCTTTTCGTATAAAACTGTTAAACTTAAAACATTCAGAAATATACAGATGAAGATTACGTTTTAGGTTAGGTTAGGTTAGGTTAGGTTAGGTTAGAGTGGATGCCCCGCGCAGAGTGCGGATCGGAGGTGGACTGGAAAAGCCCGTTGTGATACCACTGGACGAAGCCATTTGTTTCTTTCCCTGCCTTAGTAATTAAACCACCGAGAGCGTTTTATATAGCACAAAAAGTCGAGTACGTTCGCCGAGTTTAAATCGGAATTGGTTGGGCATGTTGGGCAAGACGGGACAATGGCAGTGATAGTGTCCGATAGTCTCCACCTCTTCCTCGTCCCTGCAACTGCGACAGAAATCGTTGGTGGGTATCCTAACTTTTTTCCGTGTGTGCCCATAAGGCAGTGTCCGGTGATTACCCCGACTACTAATCTGAGAGGGCAGCGGTCAAGCCGGGTAACAGCTATGGATCGCTTTACATCAATCTTTGGCCAAATTTGCCTAGTAGTATGGCAGGTGGTTTCGACAGCCCACCTTATATTTACCTCCTCAACGACTTTCACATTCAGTCTGTCTTTACAGGAGGTTAGAGGTATGCCCGCATTCCGAGAAGAATTGACTACAGATATTTCTGTCCCTCTCCTTGCCAGCTCGTCGGCTAGGCAGGATGTCCCTAGATGCCAAGGAGCATATGAGAGGTTAATTTTTTTTCAAAATTTACAAGACTGATTTTCGTAGTCTTTTATCTTTTTTGCATTGTCTAAGCCGTCAGTAGAGAGAACAATTCGTTAGCATTGGAACGGCGTAGTTTTCAAATTTTTCGGACAAGTACTAAATATTTTATTACATATTGAAGCAAAGCATATTTTAATGTCACGCCCGTCACAAAATACACATCTTTAAAAGTGTAAAAAAGCTGACGGAAGTAACGCTATGACACAGGAGAATATGTGCGAATTGCTTTTAAGTATTTATATACTTTTATTTTCGAAAAAAGGACCGATTATGTTTGTTACGCCCGTCACATATCACACCCATCACTATTTAAAGCTTGAGAAACTTCAATAAATTCGGCCAGCGACTGCTACCGTTACTTATCTGCTAATCTGAAATGTATCATAATCTGTTTATGATCAGCCATGATATAGCTAATCATAAAGATATATTGCTCGAGCGATGGGAAAACTTAAGCTATGCTGTCACGGATAAAAAGAAATTATTACTTCGCTTGTCAGGGCAAAAAACAGTATCTAAAATGATTTTTACAGGTAACGGCATCGGTTTGACAGGTAACAGCCTCATACTATTTAAAAATAAAGTACTTTACAATTACTCAGGCATACAATGGAGATGAAGAGTCCGATCAAGGATTATCCCGTCTTTAGGTGGCAGAATCTTGTATGTGTTCGTAAAATCCGATTTTTTGAGAAATAAAGTTAGTTTAGTTGCCTAATAACAGGGGTATTCTTCAAATCTTGCAAAGCCGTTGCACGTAGCATGGATTGCATAACTTGCAAACACACAACAACAAAATATATGGGAAACACCATTTCCTATCGCTGCAAAATATGCAAAGTCGAAACCCATGTATATATTTTGCAAAATAGCATAGCAAAATAAATGCGTCCCTGTACTAGTTGTTTTGTTGTTGGAATTGCTACATATGTCTCTCATTCCTCTCATCTTGCGCACTTAATTTTTGTTGCTGTATCTTGTTATTGTATTTGATACAGAATTTCGCTGCTTGCTACCTATGTATGCTACCACTTTTCAATGGGTGCTCTCGTACTCTTCCAAATTTGGAATAGTATTTTTGCATTTCGGGCAATCCTTGCATCGTACAAGACTTCGAGAATACTCCTAATGTGTATTATGTATTCATGCTCAACTTGTCACACCCGTCACAAAGTCAAGTCACACCCGTCACAGTTGAATTTGGAACATATAATCTATAATTTCCAATAGAGGTAAGTAACTTTGGCGTAAATGTTGAGAATGTTTATTTAACTATACAACGAACTATTTAAAACCATAAGCAGAAGACATAATTAGCAGAAAAACTCTGATGCAAGTAAGTAGTAGCTAATATTGTTTGCGTATTCGTCACACCCGTCACAGTAACTAAATTTAGATAACTCGTTCGGATTAAATTGTTTTTGAATTTTTTTTTCTAGGCATTGTGTATATCGCGGAAACCTATTAGAAAATACTCGTTTTACAGAATTTTATATTACAGTTTAAGAATTAAGCCTTAAAATGTGAGTTGAAATGTCACACCCGTCCCCGTGGAATGAGCCTAGGGAATATGCTATTAAAACAGATTTTTTAAGAAAATTTTGATGAACATGAATTTCAATAGATATTGACGCGGGTGAATCCAAACGAATTCTTTATTTGAATTTTTATGTATTTTCTAGTAAATGAGCGATGCACATATACATACATATCGTCACCTGAAATGCAAAAAGATGTAAGAAAAATCGTCACTGAAATGGAAAAAGTCGTGAGTAATATTTTTTTTCATAAAANTGTATCTTGTTATTGTATTTGATACAGAATTTCGCTGCTTGCTACCTATGTATGCTACCACTTTTCAATGGGTGCTCTCGTACTCTTCCAAATTTGGAATAGTATTTTTGCATTTCGGGCAATCCTTGCATCGTACAAGACTTCGAGAATACTCCTAATGTGTATTATGTATTCATGCTCAACTTGTCACACCCGTCACAAAGTCAAGTCACACCCGTCACAGTTGAATTTGGAACATATAATCTATAATTTCCAATAGAGGTAAGTAACTTTGGCGTAAATGTTGAGAATGTTTATTTAACTATACAACGAACTATTTAAAACCATAAGCAGAAGACATAATTAGCAGAAAAACTCTGATGCAAGTAAGTAGTAGCTAATATTGTTTGCGTATTCGTCACACCCGTCACAGTAACTAAATTTAGATAACTCGTTCGGATTAAATTGTTTTTGAATTTTTTTTTCTAGGCATTGTGTATATCGCGGAAACCTATTAGAAAATACTCGTTTTACAGAATTTTATATTACAGTTTAAGAATTAAGCCTTAAAATGTGAGTTGAAATGTCACACCCGTCCCCGTGGAATGAGCCTAGGGAATATGCTATTAAAACAGATTTTTTAAGAAAATTTTGATGAACATGAATTTCAATAGATATTGACGCGGGTGAATCCAAACGAATTCTTTATTTGAATTTTTATGTATTTTCTAGTAAATGAGCGATGCACATATACATACATATCGTCACCTGAAATGCAAAAAGATGTAAGAAAAATCGTCACTGAAATGGAAAAAGTCGTGAGTAATATTTTTTTTCATAAAACGATGTGGGGAGTTGTGATTCCATGAAATCCATCAAATCAACCAGAAAGTGTATTTTGAATTTTTTATGAGTTACGACTTTTTGCATTTCAGCGACGATGTTTGTTAGGTTTTTTTGCACTCATATATATATGTTTTTACTAAAGGCCGATGCGTTAAAAATTTAGTTTCACTTCTCGTAATTTCCTACCGGGTTGCTTATGCGGAGCGGTTTTCTTGTGCTCACCAACACAGTAACAGTTTAATTTTTGCCGACCACTGCCCTAGACCCTGGGTTCAGGTCTATGGCCCTTTCTCACTCGTTCCTCTCTGGGATTCTTGTGGAGAATTTGTTGTCTAAACAGAGTAGAGGAGTGGTATAATCTATCTGTCGTAGATTATCCGGTAGAGTTTCAAGTACTTTTGCGTGTCCGAATCTAAGGTCTCTCCACGGCTGGATTATATTTAACCTGGCCGCACTAAAGCCGGCCCGAAATTGGCCGTATAGATCCACAGGTGGAAGATTTAAGATTATTCCCAGAGATTTGGTGGGCAGGGTCCCGTGACGAGCATGGCAGCCGTCCTCTGCACACGTTCCACCTTGGATCTGGATAAGGAATTGTTTAGCGCAGGCCACCATACGGTGAACCCTTAGAAAAGGATGGGTCTTATCACAGCTGTGCACATTCAGTGTACTTATANGCCGTCCTCTGCACACGTTCCACCTTGGATCTGGATAAGGAATTGTTTAGCGCAGGCCACCATACGGTGAACCCTTAGAAAAGGATGGGTCTTATCACAGTTGTGCACATTCAGTGTACTTATATGGTTTTATTCCCCATTTTTTGCCTATAGCCGTCTTGGAGGCATACAGGGCAGTATTGGCCTTCCTGGAGCGATCTTCAATGTTTCGCTTCCAGTCCAGTTTCTTATATAGATTGACTCCAAGGTATTTGACCTCGGTTGAGAGAGTAAGTGCCATCCCGTTTAGGGTGGGAGGTTTAAATAAGGGAGTTTTATACTTCCTTGTGAAAAGTACCATTTCCATCTTGGCAGGATTGACACTAAGTCCACATTCCTTGGACCAGATCTTTACCAGACCGAGTGCGTTTTGCAATAACTCACTCAGGACCTGAAGATGTTTGCCCGTTTCCACGTTTGCTATATCATCGGCGTACGCTATGACTTGACAACCGGTGCTCTTTAGGCTTAGAAGTAGGGTGTTCACTGTCAGATTCCCGAGTAGAGGGGAGAGAACGCCCCTTGGGGGTGCCTCTGGTCACATACTTTGTAATGAAACCATCCCCCAGTTATGATAGAATAGTTTTCTTTCCAAGAAGGAGCTCAACAAAATCCACCAGACCCCGCTGCACTCCCGCCATGAGAAGGGAGTTAAAAACAGGCTTCGGGTAGACGCTGTTGAAAGCACCCTCGATATCGAGAAAAACTCCAATCGTGTATTCCTTTAAGGCCAATCCTTTTTTAATCGCCGATACGATTTCATGGAGTGCGGTCTCCACGGATTTTCCCTTGGAATATGCATACTGATTCGAGGAGAGGTTATCAGTTTTAATATTCCGTCGAATATGCATACTGATTCGAGGAGAGGTTATCAGTTTTAATATTCCGTCGAATATGTTCGTCGATGAGCCTCTCTAGAGTTTTAAGAAAGAATGAAGTGAGGCTTATAGGCCTTAAATCCTTCCGTTTCACATGAGCGGCCTTGCCTCCTTTTGGTAGGAATACCACCTTTGCCTTTTGTCCACTCGTGTGGTATGTGAGTCAGGGTTAGGCCCCCAGTAAAAATCTGAGAAAGTAAGGGACACAGTATGTCCTGTAGTTGAGCGGGAAAGATTCCCTCAAGATTCCTCAAGGGTTGTAGGGCTGAAAGGACTTTAAAGCCCATTCCACTACTCAGAGACCAGTAGGTCCTAGGACCGGCCGAAAAACCGGAGGTGTCGGAGATTACGTCTTAAGTTTTTGATGATTTTCCTTTATACATTTAAATTATTTAAGAAACTAAGCACACTGGGTAGGTTACACCCTGACGATAGTAACGCAGGGATTAAGTTAAAGTTAAATTTGATTTTTTTTTCCTTTTTGTTAAGTTAAAAATGTGCTTCCTTTATTGACTACAAAATTAGTTAGCCAAATAAAACATTTGATAGCTTTGACACAAAACAACTATTTTATTTGTCCATACGTATGCATTTCGGGCCGACCTGCTGTCCATCATAGCGCGTGTATCAAGTGTTTTATTTGGCAAAAATCATTAGACTATAAAAAAAAGGTTCAACTATTTTGATAAATAAGTAGTATAGTTCTTAAATTTGATTGTTTTTAATGCCGCTCATTGTCCTAAAAATGATTGCCGACTCCTGCCTTAAACGCATAACAGGGACTATGATTCATATAAGTGATCAAAAATATTAATTATTTATTTCATTTTATTCCTTTCTTCAAAAAGTTGTAACCCTTATTCCTATTCCTTATTTTTATGGTGTCGCTCCCTCTGATGAGGACATGTATAGCTTTTGAGTTTTCTAAATTATCGTTATTCTTAAGTAAAAAAATTTAATTCAATAACAATCATTATTTTTAACCTAAAGAACATAATTTTTTAAATAACCACTCATAATAATCATAAACTAAATAATGGTAGACGTTTTTGAGCAAAGAAATAAAATTCATGTGTACAATTCTGAGTTTTCTGGGACGCTTAGAACATGTAAATTTTTTTATTAAAATAAAAAAAAACCATAATTATTTTCCGTCCCTTGTTGAAAACTTGATCTCAAACGGATTTAATCCTCATTTTTGTGGTTGGTTCTCATTTCTGTTGTTGGTGTTTAATCCACTTGACATTTTAACATTTCCACTTGAAAGTTCCAAAGACATTTTTGGTGGAAAGATTCGCCCATATATACTACATACATATGTAGATATGTATTAGGGTGCCCACCGAAAATTCATTTTTTTGGAAATTTCAAGACCCTACTCCCTAATTTTGTTCTCTTTTGTGAGAAATATTACTGCCTATTTTTATAGATTTTCTGTCGATTTAGGTCAGAAAATGCGATTTTGTAGATTTATGAGTTTTTGAATGATTATTTTTGATTCGATTTCAAAGAACGAATATGATCTAAGAAGAGGATATATAAACCTTTAAGATAATAATAATCTATTGTCGAACTTGGCTTGTTGGGATTTTTTATCGGGTAAAATAAAAAAATCCCACATTTCTCTTAATTTTTTAAATTTTGACCATCAATAATTTCCACACTTTCAAAATTTGTAGTACTATCTAAAACTAAATCTATTTGTACATAATCTGATAAGCTATCATTAAGCTTATTTATTGTGGCGCGAAATCAGTACATTAGACTTTTACATGCTAAAAAATCAGTACTTTTCAGTACATTTTTATTCAAAGCAAAATTATGAATGTAAGTAACAGAAAATAATTTAAAACGCCTGAGTTCTTGTTGTTTTAACAATATTTTGGTATATTAATAAAATAAAGTTCATAAAACATAAAAGTGTTATTCATTTTAACATGAACACATCATTATAAACAGGAGCCAATAAATTATTTTACATTTTCATTGTTTCACATTTTCTGTGTTTAAATAGTCAAACAATTCTATACATTTCATTTTAAAATTACTTTTAATTTGAAGTTCACTTTCAAAAATTTTAATTAGAAGCCGGTTTCTCTCTTTGCGCCAGGAAACAAACTCTATTCCTAAATCCTCTCATGCTGTGAAAAAGTACCACTTTTTAAGGAGTTCATCTAAATTTCCTCATAACTTAAATAATTTTTTAACTACGCAAAAACTGTGAACGACTAAGAATTCGCTAAAAAGAGTATCTAACTCTATGTCTTTGTATGCAATACTCTTTTACAAAGTCAGTAAATTCAGAAAAAGGAGGCAAAACCCATTCGAGTATTGCAATTTATTGCTATTAAACTGAAAGTTATTTTCGAGATAACTAACAACACTCATCGTAAAAACTAGCAAAACCCATGGGCTTTAGCGGTTTTTGCAAATTTTAAAGCTCAAGCAAATAACTTTTGCACTAAAATTAAATGAATATTATTTGCGATGGATAGACGAAGATTTTACTTCAAAAATTTTTACTGTAGGATGATTTTTAACTTAGTTTGAAAAGCTATCCTACGAAGAATTAAGGATAATTGAGATATCTTTCGAATCCTTCCATAGAAGATTTTCATTTTCAGCACAAATCATTTGGTTATGATGACAGAATGAGAATTTGGAGAAATATTTGATGGGCAAGAACTTTTGGGTTAAACCTGATCCAAGCCCACCGTGGTAATCAACTTTAACCTTAATTATCTCAAAAAAAATTTCAGAACTACTTAGATCCTTGTGATTCTAACCCCTTCATATATGATATAAGTGGTCGGTGCCACCCTCATTTTCCGAAAATTTTTGGAAAAACCAATTTTTTGCTAAATAGTGATTGTATGTATTAAAGGTCTGCATTGGAATTCAGTTTGCTTCACTGTGGAGTTTTTTTCAAATATGTAAACTACTCATACTCTAACAAAGAGGGCGTGGAAGGAAGAGAAGTGAAGATGTTGAGCGCTGTATACATAAAAAAAAGTACTCAAATAAATTATGTTCCGAAAAAAAGAGGAACATAAATCAGCAGTACCATGCTGTTAAACTTCCACAAAAAATATGTTCTTTCACAAGTATTTTTTGAGTATAGCCCTGTATGCAGCTCTCAAGAAAGCGGTCAAGAAAAAATTGCCATTATTTCGCGTGTGTGTCCAAGGAATTTTGACATTTTTGATACCTCACAGCCTGTTGCCTCACTCTTTCCTCAAGAAATAATGGAACGGGCATATATTTCTGTTGCAAACCTGGGTTGCCTTGTGCTCTTTTTTCACAAAAAACTTTAGAAAACCGTAGTAGAAAGCGTAGTAAATTTCTTAAGAACTGCGTACTGCCTTAAGGAAATTTGACTCAAGAAAATTTCTTAGCCATTTCTTGTACGTCATTTTATGTGGAGTTTTTGCTTTTCTTGAGAGCTGCATACAGGCCTTATTTTTGGAAGTTTTCGTTTAATGCTACATAATGTTAATGTTAGAGCTAACACTTATGTTAAATAGCAAACATGGATAAACAATGTAGGGCGCTCCGAATATTTAGCCAACAGCATATTTTTATAAAGAAAGTGGACTTATTTTATACAGAAAACCGATTTTTATTTGTACAATACGATACTTTCATTTCCCCATACCAGGCGCACATACATATGAGGTATCAATCTTTCCCTATGCATACATTTGTTTGTAGAAGTTTTTAATTCGTTTGTAGAAGCCTTTGGTAATTCGCAAAGTAGAATTTTGGAAATTTAAAAATTTGTACAAAAAATGTTCTGCTTAGAAATAGAAAACTTGTTACTTCACATGTATGAGCGCCTGGTATTGGGAAATGAAAATATCAATTTGACAATAAAATCTGGTCATAATGACAGGTCACGGGAAAATGGACACACATTTTTTGTTATTTAAAAAACTTACATAATATGTATGAAAGATTCGAACTTTTTTGCTTTTAAGTATATATTGGAATAAAAAGAAAATGTAAATATGTTTTTTCTTAACATCATGTTAAATGCTAACATTTTAAAAGATAAAACTTCATAAGTATTCCTATATTTCCTATAAAGTTTTCAAATACTACTGAATGCAATCAACATACTCAAGTACTCTGGAAAAGCGGAACAGTGTTTTATGTAGCTTGATGTACTCTTTTTTTGTTCCTATCTTTTTAAGTACTCTAAAATATATGTTGCATTTACTTATGTACACATGTGAAGAGTATTTCTGCTGGTATATTTGCAGTGCTTTAGTATGTATATATCAATTTTGCATAAATATTGATGGATTCCTTAGCCACACTGCTCAAAATATCTGAAAGTCCGGTACATACACAGTATAAACTCAAGGCTGTATTTAAGAAAAGTCGCCTAACTTCGACAATTTGTATGCGATTGCAATAAATAAGCTATCAGATTATTTACAAATAGATTTAATTTTAGATAGTACTACATATTTTGAAATTGTGGAAATTATCGATGGTCAAAATTTAAAAAATTAAGAGGAATATGGGTTTTTTTCCAAAAAAAAGCATTTTTGATGGCCACCCTAATGTGTGTATGTGCGTATGTACGTATGTATGTTTTATTCGTAAAGGCTGGTTTTCACTATGTCAAATTCAATGGCATTTGTCGTCAAATAAGTGAGAACACATTGTCAAATGGAACTAAAAAACGGGTTATCGATTGATTTAGATCAGAATAGGTCTTCAGTCGTGTACATGTGCTGCTAAATTGGCTACCTGTCCATTTTTTTGGCTCACAATCAAGTTATGCCAAATTATGTTGACAAAATTTGTTGTCAAAATATGACATAGTTAAAACCAACCTTAAGAATGTGGTACTCTTTTTCCGCTGCTAACATTTTATTTTTCAAACATCTATTTTCAGAACTACTTCGGGGATGCATGGAACGTTTTCGATTTCATTATAGTGCTCGGTAGTTTTATTGATATTGTGTATTCGGAAATAAAGGTAAGATATGCAAAAGTTCAAGTAACCTATGCTATTTTGAAAAATTATTTATTTTTACGGCAGCGAGCCCTGCCTTTATTTTGAAGAACGAGTTAGGACTAATTACAATGAACTCGGATAACACAATAGCCAATACTACAAAATATCAATCCGGAATACCGGCTATTTGGATTATAAAGTGTTAGGCAGGGACAGAAAAGAAGCGTTATTTTTTTACGAGTTAAACTTGGCCAAATATTTTTTATTCCGATATAAAAGTCGTTTCCGGATCATAAAATAAACCGCTTAATCAAATTAAACAAATTTGATATCATATGTAAGAGAACTGAAAAGACTTTTAAACAGAAATAGCGAACGAAGGTTACCACCACTCTTTATATATATTTTTTTTATAATTTAATACAAAATAAATTCTTATAGCTGACCAAAGGTTTGTTCTAAGGTAACTAAATAACATTTCTTATTGAAATATTTTTCAATTGGGCGCTTTCCTCGTTTAGATATTTCAGTTTCAAAGCTATTTTAGTTCTCTTTAATTTGATACCAAACTTGTTTAATTTGGATAAACGGTTTGTTTATTATCCGGAAAGGACTTTTATTTCGGAGTAAAAATATTTGGCTAAGTTATTATCTTTCGTTTACATACTTTAAAAATTTGTTGGTCCTTTGCCAATGCATTTATTTATCGTACATACATAACTCTACTTAACAGAAGAACCATTGATTTAAGAAATATTGATATTCGTTTTTTTAAGAATAAAGATAATTCGTCTCTGGCGTGTGACATTGTGGAAGGATGTAAAGCTAAAGCCAAGGTACATACATATATACTACGCCCATGCCGGAGCTTATCAAGAGAAATAAATATTGATTTGTTTGTTTGTATTTACTTTTTGCACAGACTGGGTCAAATTTAATTTCTATAAACTTCTTCCGATTGTTTCGCGTCATGCGACTGGTTAAACTGTTGAGCAAAGGTGAAGGAATCCGAACCCTCCTATGGACATTTATAAAGTCTTTCCAAGCGCTACCTTATGTCGCCTTGCTTATTATAATGCTGTTTTTCATTTATGCTGTCATTGGAATGCAGGTATATTATTTATCGAGAAGTAAAATCTTTGCACATCTATTAATTATTGAAAATTGTACTTTGTACCTTAGGTTTTCGGGAAAATAAATCTTAGCGATGATACGGCCATACATCGTAATAATAACTTCCAAACATTTCCACAAGCGGTACTGGTTCTTTTTCGATCTGCTACTGGAGAAGCTTGGCAAGAAATTATGATGTCATGCTCCACCGATAAAGATGTACATTGTGATCCAAACTCAGATGCGCGCAAAGATTGTGGATCAAGCATAGCATTTCCTTATTTTATATCATTCTACGTACTTTGTTCTTTCCTGGTGAGTTTTTGGAATATACATACATGTTTCCCCATATACATACATACATACGTGCATATGTACATATGTATGTATGTCTTTTTAGATCGTATCACAAAAAAAGTTTAATTTGTTCCAAGCGATTTGTATACTTACTTGGATGGTATTTCGGGAGTGGAAAATTTTTTTCGGCACGCTGTGAAAACAGCTACATAATTTTCTTGGAAAATAAACTAATAAAGTTATATATAATTAGTCTGTTCCAATAGCAGTCCGGTTTACAGGATTTAGTCAGAACTTACAGGAAGTAGTTCCTATTGATATAAAACCTGTAAGTGGAAACACTTTTAAGAGAGTAACTGAGCAACTGCTCCTAGTCAGAAGTTACAGGATTTAGTCGGGAGTTTTTTTTCCTGTAAGTGCATGAAAAGTGTCGAACGATCAGCATGTGCAAACAAAAACAGAAAGCGGTGTAAACAAAGAATCTTATATTTGTACAAAAATGTAAGTAAACAATGAAATATTTGAACATGTATAGATTTTAATAAACAGTTAGTGATATTTCAGCCAAATCAGTGTTGTACCAATGACATGTAATCAAACCGACTGCCATTTTTACAGGAAATAGTGCTTTTTGCGTTCCCATGCACTTCTGTATCTGTTCTCCTTTTACTCTCATTTGAGAGAGTAAAATTGTAGTTTGACAGTTCCACAGGTTTTAGTCCGAAGTTCAAAGGAACAGACTAAATATTAAGAAGCTCAAACATCATTAAGGGCTATATATTGGCCAAGCACGACTATGCCAACTTGAGTCCCGAAAAGAGTTTCTCTAATTTATTATGTTACAAATGATGTTACAAAGATAGGTAATCCTTTATTGGAAAAGAAGAACTTTTACAGTTGAATTTTGCCTTTTATACTTTGAGAAAAACAAGTAAAATGTACAATGAAAAGAATGTCATATAACACCGTGCGACAGTAAATTTTACACACACAAAATTTTATATATTCGCAAATTTTCGGTTTAGTTTTTAGTTTTTCTCTTTTTCATTGAAAATCCTTGGAATTTTACAGCAATTTTCGAAAAAATGATATGTTAAAGTCTAATATGCACTCGGCCACATCCTCGAATTTCGTCCTTCTAACTTTATTCGCTTAAAAAAATAAAACTAATTAAAGGAACATTTCCAATACCTATTCGGCCCTGTGAACCTTGTGTTTCGAAATTTGTTTATTTTTATCGCACGGCGTAACCTAGACTCGAAAGTTGAGGCTCGAAACAAATGAATAGAAAACAAGGTTTAATTAATTTTATCTAAAGTTCTTAAGTGGCTTAACCATATTGAACATCCTGCCCGGTCGAGGCGTTCGTCTCGAAATCTTCGCTGCCCAAGAGGCTGCATAATTTATGGACTGTCCGGGTGAGGCATCCACTGCTCTGCTTCAGTCCATTGGCAGAGTCTTGGTGGACATCAGGTTCTGGTTCGGCTAACAGCGAGGACCCACTAGAAAATCGCCTGGACTAAGGGCGAGCTTGTCTTAAGGATTGTCATGAAGTAGGAACATGGGACGCGTATTAAGACACGCTTCAACTCGTGCCGCCAAAGTCTGCATCTGGCTGTTCCCCATCATCTAAGCACCAACACAACGAACTAGATGGTGTTTAGCAGACTTAACTGCAGCCTCCCAGAGCCCGCCTTGATACGGCAAGCTCGGAGAAATAAAATACCAGGCGGTAAGATCCTCTTGAAATAGTCGATTATCACCGATGAAAGCCGTACCATTAGCACTGTACAAATCGCGACATGGCCCTCGTCGCCTAATAAAGCGAGTGAACGCACCAAGGAACGGCTGAAAAGAGAGGTCGTCTACCGCTTCCAGATGAACTTTCTTGGTTCATGCAAATGAAAACAGCGAGGTAGATTTTAATCATTGTGCGAGAGCTATTTGTTTCCGCACGCAACATAAACGGACCACAATAATCTACGCCGGAAGCAGCAAAAGATCGTACAGCGTTAACGCGCCGCCTAGGTAAAGACGCCATCTATTGCATCAATAACGCTACGCGATGTCGACGACAGATCGAACAATTGTGGACGGCTCCTTTGGCGCCTGAAGTTGCGTCCCCGGTGGAGGGTTTTCTCGTGATCTTGTCGAATGGGTAGCGTGACCAGAGGACTGGATCTCGGCAAGATGATGGGGAACCGCCGATCGTATGATAAGCCAGCACTTTGAATGTGTCCACCCACTTGTCGTGTTTCAATAGATCGTACAGCATTGATAACTGCAGTGCATAAAATGGTGGGATCTTCGGCGCTTACTGTATTCGTTTAGTTCCCATGGTGCGAGAGCGGTTTGTCTGTTACAGACATGTCTTTCTCCATCCAGCTTGTGCCCTGCCACCAAAGCGGATGTGTCAGCAGTTCGAGAGGTGATATGACTATACTCGCACAGTTGGCGGAGTTCTGGTTGATTTCCATTCATTTTGAAGCCCCCTGCTAAGCCTAAATAAGCACCAGAGGACAAGAGTTAATGTGGAAGTAATGGCTGTCAACAGTGCCATGCCCCCTTTGTTTGTTGCGAAGAGGTAATTTGACCTACTCGTTCTCCGCTAAACCAATCTCTTTTGATTCTTTCTTAAGGTTGAGTAAATGCTCGAAAGGTTCAAATCTAATTGCACTTAATGTGAAGTAGATCAAAACACATTTTTAAACATCAATTTGTTTACATAAATTACATATTTAGTAGATCTCTCAGAAGCTAAATCAATATTTTGGTGAAATACAAAGACACAAAGCGACCGCGGTATTTTGGCTTATATAGAGGGTTTAGATGAACAAATGCTTCAGAAGAACGGTCAAAAGAGCTCCCAGTGAGATCTGGCAAGCTGACGCAGCACGTAGACAGGGGTTGACGACAGAAAATGATTCACTTTGTCTAAAACAATTTGAAAATATGATTTTCCATCCCTACCTTAGATCGATAGTTTAACCAATCGTCGCGTAGATCATCAGACGACGGTGCATCCCACGAAAGACCAACCGACCCCATTACCTTGGACGACCACCGGTGCAAAAAAGCCCGTTTAGTTGGTGTCTGACATGTTTGCTTTAGAGCCACCTAGAAGAAGAACTGGCTAAAAAAGTCAAAGCCAGTTTTTATAAAGCTGATGCCAGATAAAACGCTTGCCTCGCTTTGCGTTAGAGATTCACTTTGACAGATAGGATGAAGTGTATGAAAATGCACAAAGCATGCATAGATCATTTCAGCTGCATCGCGAAGCGAAAAGATGGCCAACTCCCATCTTTTTGCGCACGTTGACAATCAGCTGATTTAACATTTATTTAGTTTCGTCCGAATTGGAGTTTGGATGCAGAAACATATTTAATTACATTGCTAATGTTTTTAAATTTAAATATATAAAATCCACAGCAATTTTGACCAGTGAAAAAGCAGTACAAAATTTTTTTCTTAGCGTTCATTGTGGCATACATTTTGCGTCTGGCGATTTGCTCGTAAAGTTATAAATGTCACGCAAAGCCACAAAGTTATCTGGCATTAACTTAAATGGCAATTGTTAAATGAAAAAAAAAAACACAAAAGAGCAGCGGCAAATTTTTTTTTTTAAATATAATGGGAATTTTTACTGCATATTGTTGGTTATACGAAAATACCATGGGCTATAAAACTGCATACCCAAAATTGTTTTAAAAATTCGTAGTAAAAGGTTCAATATTTAGACGAAGTTTTTTTTTAATTTTTCTAAATGTTGTAAATAGCTTCAAACAATATTCTTTTACAAAAAATGCAAAAAGATTTTTACTTGAAAAACATTGTGAGTATTAAAAAAACAACAAGCGGAGTTTAGTCACTGTATTTGCTTATAATAACTCCAGTTGATGTTTTTTCAAATGACAATTTAGCGTAGCGATTGTCAGAATTCCACTGCAGGTAAGTATGTAACTTGTGAATGGAATTCTCCGCATCTTTTAGGCGCATTAAAATTACATAGTTACATCCCAAGCTACTAATAAAAAGGAGTTAATTAAAAACAGATCCACATTAACTGCAGTCAACACATATACGTATCTATGTATTTGCATACATACGCGATTAGGTTATAAATATTTCTCCATCTGTTACTCAAAAGCCGAAATACCTACACACACATAACTTTTGTCTTCTTCTCTCATTTCCTTTCGTTTGGTGTATGGGAAGTACCCTGCAGAAAAAAATTATCAATTGATAAAAAATAACCCACTTGTAGTTAGCTTTTTGCGGCATTTCTATAAAATACATAACCCGTAGTTAGCTACAAAAAGCTAACTTGAAACTAGTTGACAAGTAATGCAGGAGTAATGAAGGAGATTGTTTTCTTTAAACGCATTTCTATTTAAATATCCTGCACTACGCAAATACTTTTTCGAATTGAGTACAAATAAAAGGAAGATCGAAATTTCATATTATCATTTTGAAGTTACGTCTGACGGAGTTCGAATATGGGACCACCTACAGTATAATATGGAAACAAATATGAAATGTAATAAATTAATGTAAATAAAAATAAAAAAATAAAAAAAACATTTTTTTTCCTATTGATATTTTCTGTCTGAAAGTAGTTAGTTACAAGTTAGTTACATCAAATGCAGGGGTAACCACCCTTGACTACATCTAATGCAGAGGTAAACCATTAACTATTTCGCGGCCATCGCCATAGAAATATAGAAAATATACAGATAATAAGTGACTTTTAGATCCTTCCTAATCAACTTAAAGTTAGCTTATAGTTAGATATATTTCCTACAGGGTATTTATTTATATCTTTTAAATATGTTTATTTTATTCAAATATGTATATGAGCATACTGACTTTCCATACAAAATGAATTCGTTATCATTTTGCAAACACGTGCATTTTGCATGCACAGTGGTAAAAAATGGAATTTAATGTTCATAATTCACTGGAGCCTTCATTTCTTAACCAATTTGATTATGAAAATTTTTATTTTGGTGAAAAGTTATTTTAAAATATTTAAAATTTTTCTTGTGAAATTTTTTTTCATATTGGGGGAACCCTACAGTTGTTTTAAACTAGTTTTTATTCTTCTTCTTTTTCTGCTAATTAGTCATATTGGTTAAGAAATGAAGGCTCCAGTGAATTATGAACATTCAATTCCATTTTTTGTCCACTGTACAGCGCAAGTACGTGTTTGCAAAATTATAACGAAGTGATTTTGTATGGAAAATCAGTTATGGCCATATATTTGAATGAAATAAACATACTTAAAAGATATAAGTTAATACTTCCCATACACCAAACGAAAGAAAAGAACTTGGGCTTTTGATTAAAGAAAACAAAAACAAAATTATTCGAGCGGTTTTCGAGCAAAATTTGCTAATTTTTTCAAAAAATGTTTACCTTAAAATGCTCAATGTTGGTTGAATTTATATAAAATTTGTACACGATAATACTTCTATTACTTCAGAGAGCCTATATTTTGAAAATGAAAGTTATATCTGCAAATCATAAGTTGATAAAGAACTTTGAAGACTTAAAATTTACCCCAAAATCAGCCAATATTTACCGCTGTTTCTGCGACAGCAGCCGAATTGGTTACTTACAGTAATGAATCTGTCGATAGGTTTGGAATTTTTTCTTTGAAACGCCAAACTTTTCTTTGAAATCGATTCATTAGTTCTCGTGTAATAAGCGTTTTCGTGAGGCTCTAAAAATTACAACTAGAACATTTGAGCATAGCCTCTATATCGAAACGTAACACGTATTTTACGTCAATATTTACACCGCAAATTTTTCTCTCGACATAAGTGTTTAAATAAAACTGACACGCGATAAACTTTTTTTCTTACATATGTCATGATATGGCTTAAGCTACATATGGGTGTTTCCAGCGGAAGGTCCACCACGACAAAAAAATAAAAGTTTTATATCTAACGTATTTACGGGCCGATTTGTCTGCTTTTTAAAATATATACTGGCTATGTAAGTATAATCATCTTTGCATAAAATGGTCTTCCTAGGTGGTGCCAAGGTCGAGATATTTTGAAAAACCGTATTTATGGTCTGATTTGGTTCGAATTTGGCGTATGTGGTTGAAACATAATAAGTCATAGATTTCTAATAAATTTACCCTGAATTGGCGCTGAAGTCAAAGCATAAAGTATATTCTACATAAAATGCATGTTTTGTTTGCGTTAAAAATTCATTTGAAAGCAATATTAACAAAAATATAACGATTGAAATTTATGTCACGTGACGCCACGTCACGTCACGTCACGTTTCACACTTGGGGTTGTAAAAGAGAATTGAAACAATTTGCATTAATTCAAAAAACTCTAAAAACAACTAGAATTGCTCCAAATCATATTAAAATAAGTTTCATGAAAATAGCCATCCACAATTCGCAGAGTTTTGCGATTTTGTAAGAAAAGAAAAAATCAACTTCCATTTTTTGTCACGTAACGACCTCTCTTTGAATGCTTATATTTCAGGACCAAGCAGTTCGATTGATTTCATTTTTCGGTTAAATATAGAGCTAATTATGTGCTATACAATGGCCCAAAAAAGTTAAAGAAAACAACTGGTATTCCTTTTTTGTATCACATTGAAATCGTACGACTGTCACGTGCGCCACCATGGGAATGCCCATATATACATACGCACATCTTAGGAATGTTAATCCCGGGATCCCGGCCTTTTTAAGATCCCAAAAATCCCGGGAATCTTGACAAATAATCCCGGGATTTGTAGTTCGCAATGATGGCAATAATAGAAACTTCTTTTCTTAAGCAGTATTGGCTATATTTCTTTTTTTATTTAATAAATACATTATAGCTCATTATACATATAACACCGCGCTATAGTAAATTTTATACACAAATATCAATATATTCGCGAAACCATGGTCCAAATATAGAAAAATTGGGTCTTTAGTTTTTCACCATGACGTCAGTTATTTAAAAATTATTAAAAAATTCAGAAAAATGTGGTTAGAGAAGAAGTATAGGTATTAAAACAACTTCAAGTTTTTGGTGCAGAGAGACCGGTAAGTATTGAAAATTTCCTTTTAAAAGTTGTATCCTTGATATTTCGCAATATTTGTTTTTGAAAGAAATTATATATTAAGAACTTATGTATATAAACTCGATTTCATCCTCGAATTTCGTCCTTCTCACTTTATCCGCTTAAAAAAATACCTATTCGTTCTTGTGAATCCAAAAAATTTTAATTGTTTTAAATTCTAAAAAAAAATTTCCTTATGCATTTTGTACCCATATTTTTATTCTGAATTGAATTTTTTAAATTACAAAGTCCTTTAAAATAAATCGTGACGTCAGAGAGAAAAATGGTTTATCGATTGATTTAGATCGGAATAGGGTTCAGTCGTGTACATGTGCTTCTAAATTGGCTACGTCTCCGTTTTTAGCTCATAATATAATCGGTAAAGGTATGGGAAAAGGAGATAAATTTGTGTCAAAATATGTTGTTAAAATTTGGCATATGGAAAACCAGCCTTTACATATGTTGAGATATAACACTAATATCCGGTTTCACCGATCAATTTAAATATTTACAATGGCACAATTTCTAAAAAATATTATGTTATTTTAAATCATATGGTCAGATAATTTTTTTATTTATTATAGCTAGGTACAATAATATGCTTATTATACTTAGTAAGTAATGAAGTGCTTGCTACCAGGGCCTTCGACTCGCTTATGGAATAAGAATATGTCCCAAATAAGTATTAAACTCTATTAAGTAAGTTACATGCTTTTAGATAGTTTACAAGTTTTGACGTATTCTCAGCATTGATTGCGGTTAAACATGAACTGGGTGTGATATTACCAAACAATTTTTCCTGAATGGATTTTAATTGAACACAGTCGTTTAGGATGTGGTCTACGGATAACGTCCTCTTGCAGGCGGCAGCAAGTACTCATGTGTAAGTTGTGTGTGTCTTATGCGAAAGCGAATAAATGCTTGAATTTGTTGCCGGGAGCGTGTGGTCGGGTAGACAGCACCTTTGGCGTTTTTATTTATAGTGGAGTATCTGTAAGTGTAATTAAGCCAACTACTTAGCTTCTCAAGATATAACTTTATGTTAATGACATTAATTATGTCATTGTTGCTTGCGGTGTGATGAGTTAAGCAAGGTGTTTCGCCTGCAGCGAGGTCTGCAAATATATTGCCTTGTATACTTTTATGTCCTGGGATCCACATCACTCGAATTTTATATGTACATGGTATGCGAATTGTTCTGATTGCAGATATTATGTACCTGCATTGTTTATGCTTCTAACTGCACTGATTGCAGATTTTCTATCAGAACATATAATAAATTTACCTTTATTATTTTTTGTAAATTCAAGGCTAGTGCCTCAGCTGTAAATATGGAGCAGTGTTGTTCGAGGACTCCCCGCGTGATGACCGTGCCATTACATTTAATGTGTGCTATTCTCGGTTTTTAACCCATCAGTATAAAGGAAATTCCAGCCTTTCTTCCAGCCTTCTTTCTGAAGACCGCAGTGCTAGTAGAATCTTTGGAGAATTTTCTAAATCCAATATAAATTATGATTGGTTTAAAAACCAGTAGGGTACGAAGTCTGGTTTAATCAGTTGCGGCCGGAGATCTATCTTCAGAGACTTAGTAAGGCGCACACTTCGCCGTATCGTGGAATCCAACTTGTAGTGTCTTTTTGTTTAATTGTTGACATAACATCTTTGTGAAGAAGAGCATTATTTGCATTGTAAAGTTTGGGGATTAGCTTGTATGTTACTTTGGTTACTAGTTCCGGGATACTTGGTAGTCCTGCTTCAGTCAGGATGGCGACAGTGGGAGATGTGGCGAAGGCATGTATGCTCCTTCTTACTGCGGTGTGGTAAGGTTTATACAGCAGTTTCAAATTACTGGCGGCACACCATCCGTAAATTGGTGGCGCGTATTCAATTTTGGATAGTATCAGAGCTCTTGTGACATATATGTAAGTATAAGAGTATAACGTGAGCCAAGCTATGTTTTGAAGATAAATATTTAATTTCAACAATTTATATTGAGCTCGAGGCCGTTTTAAATGAAAATTTTTATTGTGGAAAAGCAACAATAATTTGAAATAATGGTAGAAGTGATAGCTATTTCGGAAATCACCACATTTCCTCATCAGACTTCTTTCTGTAGGATTCGAACCGACGATCCCACTGACTCAGCCAGTTGCCTATGCACCGTGCTAAGTACGCCTTGTAAATTATCGTTTGCTTTTTTCCACTATTTTCATTTTTGTTATGCCAACACAATCAAGCGCAGCTATTCCGCTGCAATTCACTTGATCATGTGGTTGTTGGT